AATGTCCTTAAAACTTGTTTTTCTCATTTCAAGTATTTTGAAAGGGTGATTAATTTTATAATATCTGGATATAGGATGGGCTGACAGGAAATGTATGAGTGATAAGGTTGTGCTACATTGTGCTAACATAATGTCATTTAATTCTCTTAATAACTGTTTTATGCATGAGGAACCTGAGGCTCAGAACACAAAATAATTTGTGGTGTTCTGTACAAATTTGTATACAGATCTGACCATAAAGCCTATTCCTTTTCCCCACAGTCTGCCTCTCTGATTATAGTAATAAAAATAATAGTTAGAATTGTTGTATGAGCATGAGGAGCTAGGCACTATCCCAAGTACTTTTACACATGCATTATTTCATTTATTCCCCACAAAAACCTATGAAACAAAGTCGGCAGCTAGAGTTAAGTAATTTGCTTAAGACAACCCTAGCTCGGGGCACCTGGTGGCTCAGGTCATGATCTCGTGGGTCAGGAGTTCAAGCCCCGCATCAGGCTCTGTACTGATAGCTCAGGGCCTGGAGCCTGCTTCGGATTCTGTGTGTGTGTGTGTCTCTCCCTGCCCCTTCCCTGCTTGCATCCCCCCTCCCCATAAAGAAAGAGAGAGAGAGAGAGAGAGAGAGAGAGAGAGAGAGAAAGAAAGAAAGAAAGAAAGAAAGAAAGAAAGAAAGAAAGAAAGAAAGGAAGAAAGCTTTTTAAAAGATGACCCTAGTTCATAACTGATGGACCTGAACTGTATCTCTCACTCCATGGTCTGTGTTCCCAGTTATGATTCTTTAATGCCTTCCTTGAGTATACCGTTGGTTTCAGTATTATCAATTGGTATGTTGTATAAAGAAAATGATGCATGATTTTTAAGGATAGGAGTGTTTGTACGGAGAATTCTGTTAAGGGGTTGATCATTTGTTGCATTTGTTATTTTTGTTTGTTTGAGGGATAGTGCAAGCAGAGGAGGGGCAGGGAGAGAGGGGGACACAGGATCCGAAGCAGGCCCCACACTGACGCAGTGAGCCCGACATAGGGCTCAAACTCATGAACCGTGAGATTATGACCAGAGCCAAAGTTGGATGCTCAACCAACTGAGCTACCCAGGCACCCCAGTTTTGTTGCATTTAAAATCCTAAATGTCTCCCTCATCTTGGGCTTTAGCTTCAGACAGTGTGTATATGTGGCATCATACAGGGGTACGATGGTAATGTGTGCTCTGGAGAGGCTGTAAGGGTCAGAGCAGCTCCACCTCCAAAAAAAAATGTGTATGCATCCATTTCATCTCCTGTCATCGCTATGGCACGCAGGCCCCATCATCTTTTACCTGAATTGGCCCAGTAGCCTCGAAACAATCTTCCTGCCTACAACTTTTCAGTGGATTCCTACCACATTAAGAATATATATTCAGGTTTCTTACTGTTTTCCAATCTGGCCCTGCCTCTCCTTATTTGATGCCTTCCTATTCACTGTTACTTATCCTTATGTACCTGGAAATGCCAACCTTATTCTTGTCTTTAAGGCTCTTCCCCAGCTGGGTTTACCCAGCTCTTCCCCAGCTGGGTCATAAGTGGGTGCCAGGTAGTTGCTGGCAATAGATGATAGTCACTACTTACCTTTTCAAACACGGGCCGCATCCTGCTCTTCCCCAGCTGGGTTTACCCTGTCCCTTATTTAATTCCTGGTTGAGGTCCCTCCTCAGCCTCTCCTTGGGGAGGCCTTCCCTTACCACTCAGTATAAAGCCACAGTAGTGGTAGTGGTAACAACAGCAACAATCAGAACAGCTAACGTTTAGTGAGCTTTTACTATATACCAGGCATTGTTTTCTGTATTTATTAGCTCATGGGGGCCTCATGACCTCCCTTTGAAGTAGACGCTATGATCATCTCCATCATAAGATGATGAAACTGAAGCAGAGAGGGTTCCGTCAATCACTCTGTCAATCACTTGGTTTATTTTCTTCATCACATGATCTATATTTATCTTGCTCTACTCTAGAAAGCCAGTTCCTGAGAGAAGGGACTGTGTCTTATTTTCTGCTGTTCCTGAAGCTTTTTGCTGGGACATAGTAGGCACTTATGCTGAAATATGTTGAGTGAATGCATGAATGAATGAACAAATGAACGAACAATGATCAGTCTTATTGGGGCATGATATTTGTGGTGAGAAATAGAAAATTTCAAAGATGATACTTCGGCTCTAATTGTATGAAAAAGACTCAAAGCTCTTCACTTTAATATCTGTTAGACATTTTTCTTCTCTGTCGCATTATATTGTGTGCATACAAGCATGTGACCATGAATCTGGGCAGAGGAAGAAAGACTATATGTGAATATACTAATTAACCCAGTAGTCACTGGTCATAAGTGGGTGCCAGATAGTTGCTGGCAATAGATGATAGTCACTACTTACCTTTTCAAACACGGACCGCAGTCTGACTTTGTAACTGAGTTCTACTGCAGGCCGTGTAAGGCAGCTGTTGCTGTGAATCATCTGGCTGAAGTAGGGAAATGTTTGTTTTGTTTTTAAATTTCATTGCTCTTCTGAACAAATGATGTATTGACTTTTTTCTCCCTGGTTCCTGGCAAATACTAATCTCATAAGACTTTGGAGATGAAAAAGAACTTCAGATCCTTAGCCTACCTTCCTCATTTTTACAAGGGGAGAGAAATAACCCCCAGGGATTACATGGTTTTCACAGGGTCACATAAGTACTCAGTGGAAGAACCACAGCTTGCCTCACAACCACCAAGTGGGTTTCATGATCAAATACCGTTAGGGGAAGATGAACGCTTGTTCACTTCAGGGCCATGATTAGAATGCTGACTCATCAGCACTTTCTATTTACTCGGTAATGAAAATTATTGCTGAAAGCCGAAATGGTCACCAGGAGGATGTTGCTTCTATATCCCTCTTTAGTAATACAAGGTAGTATCTTCTTGTAGCACATTCAGTGGCTAAAAGTGGTATGTGACTCTTTGCTTCCCTATATTGAAACTCTTGGTCCTTCAGAAGTCTAGAAATAGCATTTGGTTCTGTTATAACTAAGAATGCAGAAATGAGTCTGGTAAAATCCCTGGTTTGTGAAGTAATTTTATCATTTAAATACTAACTTTGCATTAATTGAAATAGTTAAAAACAATTTGGAAAACAAAAGTGCTTTTCTGCTGGGGAAATAATAAGCAGGATGTGACACTACATATAGAATTTTCACTGTACCTGGAATTCTGAATTACTGAATCATTGCCTATTCTTTCTTGCATAAATAGGGAAAAGTATCCTCCTTATTCATTTCCACAAAAGCTAGTGCAGAATAGTTTATTTTAGGAGACTGGTTTCCTTCTGATTGGTTTTAAGACATTACGGACATTGGAGGGTGCAATGTTGAAAGAAACTAATGTGGTTCAGAAGGCACCGTTGAGACTTGCTTCATGTCTGTTCCTTATAGTGCTGTGTGTGACTGTGCCTGCCAGGGTTCGCCCTGTAGCACTTTTAGTTTAGGAAGAGTAATGATGCTATTAGCAGATGTCAAATGCCTGAGTGAACACTGAGGACACAGGGGTGACTAGGGGTGGTTTTCCTGGAATATTCAAGATATGTTGAAGGAGTGTGGATCTGGTGTCACTATCATTAATTTCTGTGTCTGTACTTGGGACCATATTGAGATGCCCCCCTGCCCCCGCTCCCCCAAGAACTTGAAAATGCAGGAAATGAGCTTGCTTTCTTATTTTTTTTTGTAAGCTCAACTCATGATAGGAGCACACTCGCCTGCAAGAGAGACAGATCTGTTCCTAGTAAGGTTTGATGGTAAAAATCCCATTCACAGATTAAATGTCAATTTCAACTTGGAGAAGGAGATGGTCAGCAAAGAGGTGAGTCGGGGAGTTAAACATTGGTAGCACCCTTCTCAGCTCTGTGGAGGGGCAGAGAATTAGTTGTGTGCAACAGATTTGAAGCACAGCCCCATTGCCAGGTATCCCAACAGACTTTGAAGATTTGGGCTCTACGGGTGCGTCTACCCCTGTTGTGAGATTGGGTGCGTCAGGCTGTGCTAGCCCGATGCTGTTAGACTCTTGTCATCTACCAGTGGGTTAATTGATCGGATGTTGAGGGATTGATATGTTACCCATATGTCCAGACCTAACCTGCTTATTTCTATAATGTAAGATGAGAGTTCCTTGAAGATTCTAAGTATAACAGTGACAGACTTTCCCATTCCAGTTTAGTAAGAATACCAGCCTTTCTCCCAGATGCCTTCATGGATTATTCCTGAGGACCTGTGAGGCTAGGCACATGCACTGAGATATTCCTGAGAGTTCCTGAGGTCTCTGTGTCTACTTACTGCTGGCTTGCTGCCACCTGCAAGGAGTAACTGGGGATTCTGGGCCAAATGCTAGGTGGTACTTGTGACACCTGGCTTTCGACATCCTGGGAACGGGCTTCAGGTGCCTGTGGGGTCTCTCTATCACTGCTGATGGAAGTGCTTGGGTGGCTGAGCTCCCCGGAGCCCTGAAGAGACAGGACAGGGTGACTGGCAGCTCCCATTGGCAGAGTGCCTGGCTCCCTGCTTTCTGTGCAGCTCTCCCTCCCTCCTTCAGTATCACACCTGCGCAGGGCATCCCACTGCCTGAGCCCCAAGGGTTCATGACCTGATCACCTGCCAAAGGTCCCACCTCCTAATGCCATCAATTTGGGATTACCTGCCTACATATGAATCTGGGGGAGATGCCAATGTCCAGTCTATAGCAATCCATATATAAAATTTTGATTATATAAAACCAGGGGGGAAACCTGTATCTAAAACGTGGTGTGGTGAAAGAGAGTTATTAACCATGCGAGCAGAGGCAAAGCTGCCTGTGTGCTTCATTCAGACTGTAAAATGGATATGACAGCACTCACTTGGGAGCCATGTGGCCTCCAGAGTGACCATCCTCACTCTGCGCCTCTCTACTTGGAAAGCTTTCAGTGGCTCGCTGCCAACCAGAGGATGCGTTCCAGACTTCTTCGCCAGCATGAGAGGTCTCCCGAGATCTGCCCGTGTGCTTTTTCAGCACATCGCACTGCCTTTACCTTGCCCTTTGTCTATGCTTCAGCTCTGTTGCGTCCTCTGCACACAACTGCGTCCCCATACTCGTGTTGCCCACCTCTGTAGAAAGCCTAAGTGATTTTCTGGTTTCATATAGCAACAGACCCCACAGGCAAGCTTTTCTTATACATTTTGTTACCAGCACTTGGCTGCCATTAGTTCTTTATCAATGGGTGGAGAAGCATTTACTTGCCCTCAAAAAAAAAAAAAAAAAAAAAAAAAAAAGAAAAGGCCAAATAACCACTCCTTTGTCATTTGGTGTTTATTCAGCAAACATTTATCGAGTACCTGCAGTTGGTTGGTACTGGTGTTCCAATGATGAGTAACACACCCTCTGGGTGTGGCCTCTGGGAGTTCCCATTCTGGGAAGGAGAGACAGACTCAGAAGCAGGCAGTAACAAAATCTTCTGATTTGGGTGTTTTGCTGGGGACTGGGAAGTGCAGAGGGCTATGGGAATACAGAGAAGAAACACTGACTTAACATCTTAGAGTACTTCAGAAGAAACCCTGTCAGCAGGTTTTATAGGAGGAGTTGGAATTGCCTGAATAAAAAGAGAAGAAAACTGGGTTTTTAATAGAATACTGTTGGTGGCTCTTTCTAGGAAAGGAGTAAGGACTGATTTAATCTAGTCTCAGTTAATTCTTACTAGAAGGTAAAAGAAGCAGTTTAATGTTTTATGTTCTTTTAGAACTTCTATGTATTTTTTTTAATGTTTATTTATTTTTGAGAGAGAGAGAGAGAGCACGTGCAGGGGAGGGGCAGAGAGAGAAGGAGACACAGAATCTGAACCAGGCTCCAGGTTGTGAGCTGTCAGCACAGAGCCCGACATGGAGCTCAATTTCATGAACCATGAGAACATGACCTGAGCTAATGTCAGATGCTCAACTGACTGAGCCATCCCGGTACCCTGAGAATTTGTATGTATTTTTAAAGTGTTGTCAACTTTGCGATAAGATGTTACCCAGTTGAAATTGCTTGAATCTGTTGCATTGTTAGAATGATCCTGAGGGACACCTAGGTGGCTCAGTCCATTAAGTGTCTGACTTTTGATTTCAGCTCAGGTCAGGATCTCATGGTTTGTGAGATCGAGCCCTGAGTTGGACTCTGCACTGTGGAGTCTGCTTAGGACACTCTCTCCCCCTCTCTCTCTGCCTTTCCCCCACTTGTTCCATCCCTCTTTTTCTGTCTCTCTCTATCTCTCTTTCTGTCTCTCAAAATAAATAAACAGGGGCACCTGGGTAGCTCAGTCGGTTAAATGGACGACTTTGGCTCAGGTCATGATCTCACTGTTTGTGAGTTCGAGGCCCGCCATCAGACTCTTTGCTGCCAGCCTGGAGCCTGCTTCAGATTCTGTATCTTCCTCTCTCTGCCCCTCCCCTACTCACACTCTGCCTCTCAAAAATAAATAAACATTAAAAAAAATTTTTTAGGGGCGCCTACGTGGTTCAGTCAGTTAAGCATCCGACTTCAGCTCAGGTCATGATGATCTCACTGTCCATGAGTTCAAGCCCTGCATCAGGCTCTATGCTGACAGCTCAGAGCCTGGAGCCTGCTTCAGATTCTGTGTTTCCCTCTCTTTCTGCCCCTCCCCTGCTCGCACTCTGTCTCTCTCTCTCAAAAATAAACACTAAAAAACAAAAAACATTAAAAAAAAAAGAAACATAAAAAGAAGGAATGACGCTGAGATGACTTGAAATGGTCTTAAGAAATTTGAAGCTCATTATGAACATAAATTGCAGTTAGTGGAAAGATTAAGATGATTACAGTGAGTTGTGGTCATATCAGAACATGGTGGTTGCCTCTATAAACCTTAATGTTTATCTTGTTTCTGTCTTCACCCAAAAAGGAAAAAAAAAAAAAATCCCAGAGAGGTATTAAATATGTATACTTAAGTTCTTTAAATATATTTTGAATTGCCTCTGTCTTGTTCTTCTTCTCTAAAACTGTAAAGTCAACTAGTTTAAAATGTTTTGTTACTTTTGGATGGATTCTTACATAACAGAAGGAAACAAGTTGAACATTTATGGGGGAACAATGAGTAAAAATTTGCAAAATTTGCAAAGATTTTAAAATGGGTCAGTTTTTATATGACTATTAAATGCTGACTTTTAGTTGAAATATTAGATGTGGGTATTTTCCTTTTCTATTATGAAGGAAACAAGAACACCAATCAGGGAGAAGCTTATAGCTCTGAACAAATTTTAGAATCTCAAGTAGTTATGAAGTATGTTGTTGTCTGGATGATAAAATGAAACGTTTCTTATTGAATCAAAAGACTGTCTCTCTTCAAGGTTATGAGAAGACAGATGATGTTTCAGAGAAGACTTCACTGGCTGACCAGGAGGAAATACGGACTATATTCATCAACCAGCCCCAGCTGACAAAATTCTGCAATAACCAAGTCAGGTAGGAACTGCCAGAGATGGCTTGTCAGGCCAGCCATCACAGCGACACCCGATAGGCCATCTCTCCTCTCTGGCCGAAACAGAAATGCTCACCAAGAGCTTTCGGTGAAATCGGTTCATATTTGAGAACTTACTGGAGGCAGTGTGAATTTGCTGTTTTCTTCATCCTCTAGTCAATAAGGAGATATTAATAAGAAGCTGGAAGCTGGAAGCAGGTAAACAGAAAGGTAAACAGCCATACCCTACCAACTGTACCAATTCTGTGTATAGTGTCTGCATGGCGAAAGCTGCTCATGGGTAAATGCCTTTGTCGTAAAGCTGTTACAAGAAGGAGTGGTTATTGTTAGTCAATTATTTGGCTAACAAAATTTAATATTTGGTAAGAGGCCTTTGCAGTCCCTCACCAAGAACTCCTTTTGGTTAAATAGTCTTTACATTCTGGCTTTTGATAGCTGTGAGATTGAGTATGGTGCTGAGGAATGGAGGGCTGTTGCGTTCCTGCGCTGGTACATTTGCCTTCCAACAACAGCATAAAAATTATCACCGTTGTAAACACTGTTCACTGAGTGGCCTCTGGATGGAGTGAGCACCCCGTTACCCCTCTCACGAGCCCAGTGTTTCTCCAGTGGCCAAATTCCTGGATTTGAGAAATAACCATTTAATATTAATAATTACAGGGGCGCCTGTGTGGCTCAGTCGGTTAAGTGTCCGACTTCGGCTCAGGTCACGATCTCAAGGCTCGTGAATTCGAGCCCCACGGTGGGCTCTATGCTGACAGCTCCGAGCCTGGAACCTGCTTTGGATTCTGTGTCTCCCTCTCTCTCTGCTCCTCTCCCACTCACACTCTGTCTCTGTCTGTCTCTCTCTCAAAAATAAGTAATACTAAAAGAAAAAGTTTCTGGCCTTGCTCAAATTCCTGATTTTTTGGTAAGATTTTATTTTTTATTAGTGTATTATATACTCTCCTAACTAAAGTTGCTTTTCTTTGTAAGCTACTCCTAGTATGTTAAAAAGGATGATCGGCCAAAGAGAACAAAAGAGATTATGCAGAAAATTAAACTCTTACCACTTAATTAGATAAGTCTTTTCATTTACTTTCATCTAGGTTAATGACCATTTGCAGTATTCTCCCAAGTTGAAATAGAGGGCAGCTGTCCATCTCATTTTTTATATGATGGTAATAGAATTTTGTAAATGTGGGTGCTAATTATGGATTAATTTTTTATGCTACCTTTCATTTTGTTTTCTAGCACTGCGAAATACAACATAATCACCTTCCTTCCAAGATTTCTCTACTCTCAGTTCAGAAGAGCTGCTAACTCATTTTTTCTCTTTATTGCACTGCTGCAGGTAAAGTCATGTCATAAAACTTTAGTTCAAAGCCAAATGTTCAGATATTAATAAATGTTTTTGTTAAGCCCATGACCCATCTCCTGAAGCGCATCTAAAACACAGAGAGACAAGCTGGCTGGGGTGGACATTTCCAACTCCTGCTGCAGGCGATATCAGAATTCCACTGCTTCTTCAAGCCTTTTGATTCATTTTTGTCAGCTTATTTTTAGCATTCTATACATTCAATATGGCGGGGAGGAAATTTGATGGTAAAGAGGGAGGGAAGTTTTTCTTGAAATAGTAATTAAATATTAATTTATTTTAGTAACAGTAGTAGTTCTGAACCTTAGAATATAAGAATTACCATTTTAAAACATTTCTTTTTGGGGTGCCTGAGTGGCTCAGTCAGTTGAGCCTCCGACTTTGGCTCAGGTCATGATCTCACGGTCCATGCGTTAGAGCCCTGCATCAGGCTCTGTGCCGACAGCTCGGAGCCTGGAGCCTGTTTCAGATTCTGTGTCTCCCTCTCTTTCTGACCCTCCCCCGTTCATGCTCTGTCTCTCTGTCTCAAAAATAAACAAACATTAAAAAAAATTTTTTTTAAACATTTCCTTTTGTAATTGAGTAAGTAATAATTCAGGGAAAACAAGTTTCATTGTATTAAAAAGCATACATTCATTGTAAAAATAATAAGAAAACACAACAAAGCGTAAAAAAATTAAAACTATTATTTTTCCACCACTCAGAGACAACTACCCTGAAATTTGGGGTGTATTTTCTCCTGGCCATCTTTCCCCCTGCCCCTCCCAACCCTAAATATTATTTATTCATTTAGCCTACAAAAAGAAGATCGTATAATACATATGTTTTACATTCTGCTTTAACCATACAACAATGCGTGGCTATTTTCCCATGTGGTTCAGTGTGTTTTTAAAATATCAGTTTTAAAGATGGTATGGTATTAATTTAACTCCCCTACATACAACAGCTTGCCATGAAGCAAGCTATCATGTTCTTCCAGCCACTTACTAGATACGAGCCAATTGCCTCACCCAGTGTTAGTCTGCCGCGAGAGTAAAATCACTGAAGCATATTTTAAGAGGCAGTACGACGTGGTTGTTTTTAAATATGTTATAAACTTGCTAGTTCTCACTGGATTTCTTTTTTTTTTTCCCCCCAAATAGCAAATACCTGATGTATCACCAACAGGTCGCTACACAACACTGGTTCCTCTCTTATTTATCTTAGCTGTGGCAGCTATCAAAGAGATAATAGAAGATATTGTAAGTATTTGATTTTTTTCATAAACAAATGTGATGGTTATTTTATATACATATTTTTATACATTTTTCTTTCAGTTTAATTCTTGGCAGAGGCTATTTAAAATGCTCATTCAACTTAAAAATATGTAGAATATATTCTGGAGCTCATTCCTCTTAGTTTCTACAGTTTTACTGTTATAGAACACTTGTTAGAGTGTTCTCCACGTTTGTAGTTTAGTAATAAAAGAAATGAATTAAAAACATTTTTTTAATGTTTATTTATTTTTGAGAAACAGAAAGAGTGTGAGCAGGGAAGGGGCAGAGAGAGAGGGAGACACAGAATCCGAAGCAGGCTCCAGGCTCTGAGCTGTCAGCACAGAGCCCAATGCCGGGATTGAACTCACAAACTGCGAGCTCATGACCTGAGCCGAAGTTGGACATTTAACCGACTGAGCCACCCATGTGCCCCAAGAAATCAAATGTAATAATTGGCTTGGAGAGAAAACTATATTTGAACATTAATTTCAATTATGCCCAATTTTCAATTTGAACTTTATTTCAAGTTAAACATGGTACCCTCCAAATTATCTAAATGTAAAGGGCTTTTAATGTATTTTTAATTTATATGCATGGTTTTTACTTTATTAAATACTTTTGATTCCTTTTCATCTAGTAGTTCTAAGTTTCCTTTTATTTTCTTAAAAGAAAGTACCAACATATATGCTATTTTTATTATTATTCTGTAGTAGCTGAGAAAAGAGGAAGTCAATTTCCCTTTTATAAAATAAGTTCCCCAAAATAAATTAAGACTTTTCTTTTTTCCTCTGTTTTACCGTTATTTTAACTACCTCAGTTGAGGAAGTGAATGTATTTTTTCATATGCTCTTTAAATACTTGGCCAATCTGAAATGACTTTCTGTCGGGCCTTAGGCAAGTCAGATGGTAAGGTGAGGAAAGGCTGAGACATTCTCTGGGAAGCTCCAATTTAAAGTTGCACAAACATTAATATTATTTCTGTAGAGAATCAAATTGGGAACTCATAAGAACGCATGAGCCATAGCTTCACTAGACTCATTTGAAATGGGTCAAATGTCCATTTGAAGCATCAGTCTCAAAAACCTCCAAGTGTCTAGGAGTATAGACAGAGGTTGTCTGTTTGCATGTCTGTAAAACATCACTATCCTCTTCCCTGGAAATAACATGCTTCAAGGGGACCACAAACTGAAAATGTCAGGGACTCTCTTTACCTGTATTGTTCCACACAGACTTACCTTTAAATCCTTTAAATTGTACTTGGATTTGGCAGTCCATAAGGATTGGTCTTTACTATAATTTGTCACTTTCTTTGCTTTATGTACTCCCTTTTCTCTCTTTGACATAATTTTGATTAAGCATAGGTTATTTACTAGACATTGTGCTGTTGTTTTTGTATATGTTTTTCCCATTTCATTTCTTCAGTACTTTTAAAAGTTGGATATTAATCCCGTTTTAAAGGTAAGGAAACTGGGGTTTAGGGAGGTCATGAGCCTGTCCAAGAACGCAGTTGGGATCAGAGCTCTGTCTCATCCAGTGCTCTTCTATATTGTAGCAAGTCACCAACAGTAGGATTGATCACATTTATTGAGCTTCTGGGATCCATGTGTTGGTTCGATATCCTTTACATTTATTAAGTCTTACAGCAACTCTTTAAAGGATTATTGATATTGCCCCCATTTTACGGATGAGGGAGAGGAGGCACAGAGGAGCAAGGTCACTTGCTCAGGGTCATCCAGTTAATAACTGGGGCTGTCAAAATTCAAAAGAAGGCGGTTTGGCTCCACAGCCCTGCATTATCATCCCTGCTGTAAGCTGCCTATCTTTCTTCTTTTCCTTCTAACAAACCTCTAAGTTCTCTAGCTATGGTTTTTAGAACCCCTCTCTGTGGAAACATATAAATATTATTAAAAGGTGAATAAAATATTATCCAAAAGGTGTTTTTCTTTTAAATAGAACTCTTGTTGGCACAATGTAATAATTGTACTATCAGAAAGCAGCTTGCCAGGCAATTCCTGGAGGATATAATAATACTTGTGGGGAGAAATAGTATTACGTGGAGTGCTTTTCCAATAAAATCATTGTTAAGAAATTGAGTAAAATAGGGGCACCTGGGTGGCCCAGTTGGTTAAGCATCTGAGTCTTGATTTGGGCTCAGGTCATGATCTCCTGGTTTGTGAGTTCGAGCCCTGCATTGGGCTCTGTGCTGCCAGCATGGAGCTTGCTTGGGATTCTTTCTCTCCCTCCTCTGCCCCTGCCTTGCTTGTGGGCGCATGCATGTGTGCTCGCACGCACGCGCTCTCTCTCTCTCTCTCTCTCAAGGTAAATAAACTGAAAAAAAAAAAAAAAAAAAAAAAAAAAACAAAAAGAAACTGAGTAAAATAAGTCCTTAAGAATGGTTTAACAAGACATTTATGTCAACTTGTAAGGTGATAGAAAGTTTAAAAAAGTACTCCCTAGGGGAAAAAAAAAATCAAATGGTTTAGATGATTGCCCAAGGAGTATCTTTATCAGTAATGTATCTTTATCAGTAATTGCAATGAATACATATATTTGTCCATTCCTTCAATGAAATGTATGAAGCAGTACTTAGGTGCCAAGAATTTACTAGGTTACGTATAGGATGTGCTGAACTTTTGTTGCAGTAGTAATCATGTCCCAAATATCAGTGGCTTAAACCTAAGTTTCTTTTCACATACTCAAAGACACTGCAGGTATTTTTTCCGGGAGGAAGGGAGGGCAGGACGCACCATGTAGTCACTCAGGGATGCAGCTGAATCAAGGGTCTACTGTGTGGAATGTTGGTGGTCACCAGAGCAGAGGGAGAGAGAATGGAGGTCCAGAAGTTTTTGGCCCAAAAATAAAGCATATCACATCTGCTTACAGTCTGATACCAGAACTAGTGACAAAACAAAAAGGAGGTTAATCTCAGTGTCCATGAAAATAGAGGAGAACTAGATAGTGGTGAAGACCAGTAATGTCTACCACTCTTTCATCAGTGAATAAAACACAGCTTACATTACAGTAAACCTTCTTTCATATTGAACACTTACGGTAAAACAATTCCCTCCAGGTGAGACACCTAAGACTTATGCACCCAGTGCATTTTAACACCTGATGCTTTGCCTAGCTCAACAAAATGCAGTTTCCTGTTTTTAATGTGCAGGTAGCAAATGGCATAACTACCTACTTGAAAATATTCTGAAATTAGTGGAGAACTTTTCATTTAAAAAAAAAAAAAACATCGTGTCAAATGTCAACTCTTACGATAAGGGTCAAGGTTGGTTGCTAAATAATGATATTCACCACAGAAAACATGTCTTCTTTGCTATACACTTGTTAACTTAAGCTCTGATCAACTTTATTCATTATAAAACAGATGCTTTTTTAAAGTCTACAATATTCAGAGACCAACTACTGGGAATGTGTTAGTGAATAAAAGTAGCCATGATGGAACTTGCAGCCCAGTAGAGGAGACAGACAATCAAGTAACCACGCCGGCTATCAGCTATCATAAGAATTAAATGATGCACTGGGGCACCTGGGTGGCTCAGTCAGTTGAGCGTCCGACTTTG